ACGGAACACCTCATTGCAAGCATTTTGTGGGATCTCTACAGTTAATCCTCTCCAGTGTTATGGGTCAGGGGCTTTGGGCTCAGTTATGGAAATGTATCTTAGTCCTCTTTGCAGAGTGGCAGCAGGAGGAGTTAAAAATTGCCCCTTGAGCCTTTGAGCATTTTTGTAAAGACCTGCAGAGGATTTCAGCAAGCTGAGGGTGGGGTAGTGAAAAGCAGCTCAGAGATGCTGCCTGAGTTTGAATGGCAAAGGTTTGTGATCATTAGGCCCATGGATATCCCAGAAACATTCAAGGTTGATCGGCTCGTCTGTTGGGTTTCCTTACCTCTCCTCTAATCTCCTTATCTCAAGGCTACTTCTTATTCATTTTTCTGTTTTCTTAGCTCTTCGCTTTGAATTAGCCCATTGCGGCTCATCTGGGTCTTGACCATCCTGTTTAGACATGTGCTGATAACATCGTGTCTTGGCATTTTCTAGTGGGAGAAAATGGTTGGCCTTGTTCATGGACTAAGTCACATTCTCGGGGCTGGTCCACCTATGAGTCTGTAGCCCCTGGGTTGAGTTTCCCAGCCAATTAAAAGGCAGAGGGCAGAGCTGGCAGGAACCCCAGGTCTCTAGGTAGGGCTCACACAAGGCAGACTTCACGGCTACTGTGTATAGCACAGGGTGGGATAACATAATTATTGGAAGCTCATCTCCTAAGACCATTGCTCTCAGTTCTCTGTGGATTCATCAGGAGCCGTTGACCTCACTGGGACTTCTTTATGTTCTAAGCACACCCTAACAGACGCTGGTTTCTGCCTGGAGCCTCCAGTTGCTTCTGAGGATATGGGAATCATACAAAAGCGAGTATTGATTTCTTGCCCATGATCCCATGCCCAAGCAGGTGTGGCTTTTGAGATCGCAAGGGGCTTGAGGGCTGCCACTGCTCTGTAGTTAACCTCCAGAAGGCACTGTTGTGTAGATGGGTTGTGAAAGAGATGCTCTTACACCATCTGGAGGAGATGGAATGAGAAGCAGGCAGGTTTTGGGGTATGAAAGCCTTTGTCATTTTATTTTACAATAAAAAATTCTAACAGCGTATGAACACTCTGTTCCCGGCAGAGGCAAAGGACGTACAAAGTTAATTAGAAAGCAAAGCATTGAAATAACAACAGCTACATTCAAAGCTCCTGTTCAGTACTTTGCCCAGTGCATCCAAAGTGGTTCGAGAGCATCCCGGTCTGGGGTTTTTCCCACCCAGAGTCAAAGCACGTGTGGAAACACTTCCATACCCTCCCAACCACAGGCGACCAACAATGATAACAGCAACTCCATGTGGGCAATTACAAACTGCAGAATTCTTTTCCTTTTCCTTGATAAGAAGTTGGGTCATTGAACACATGACAACACAAATTAACTCAGTGGGTAGCAGGAGCTGGATCAAATCGAACTGGGAAGCGAATGGTTTTTGTAGCAAATTTTTCCGATATGCTTTCCAAACCATGTTCAGACACAGTGCACATGCTCCTCACGACCGCCATGGCAGGTAGGAAGGACAGATGCTATTACTGACCCACGACGAGTTACAGACTAGTTCAAAGTCAGTCACTCCAGTTCCAGAATATTTACACCTCAAAATTTCCAGTCCAACTCCACTCCTCTGCTTTCGTTTGGACATTCCCTTTTCTTTTCTCTCCTTCATTTATGTGAGGGTGGAGAAGGGTTTAGACCCAAAGAAGAGATGAAGGAGAGGAAGGTGAGGCCACGGTTAATTTATGTAAAGTACACCGGATGGCCTCCTTCCATCATTTACAAGAGTCTGAGCAAGGACAAAACAATTAGTCTCTAGATTTATCATAGGATGTTCTAGACTTATAATAGGATGGCTCTAACTCAAGTGAAAGTTTGACCTCTGAGGACAAATTCCTCAGAATTTCCCTCTTTTGGAAACCTACAGAATCAAAGCAACTCAACATCTTCTAAGAGAATCTGTTTCTGGCACAATTAATTTCCTAAATCACCCTTTTTAGAAACGCCTACACTTCAGTATTCCCCGCCACCTAGAATTCTGTAAGAGTTCACGTAAGCCATCAGGAGCCCTTTCAGTTCCCGGGATACTAACTTTTCAGAGCCGGAAGGTCAGACAGAGCCTCTGAAGCATTGTTTTCACCTGAAACCAATTTTGTTTCAAGGAGACTCTACGGAGAGGCTCATCAGTCTTCTCATCCATGCAAATGTGTGGCTGGGAGCCACTTTAGCAGCACCTGAGCTAAGGCCATGCAATTCAATTTACAAGTGTTTATTGTCTGCTGAGCTGAGCTGAGCATGACACTAAGTTAACGGGGGCTTGGTCAGAGATCTCTTCTGTGGCCCAGCAGTGGTATTCAGGAACTAGCGTGGTTAGGGGTGGGAAGTGCTGGGGCAGTCCAGTCAGTCGGCAGGGGGTTCAGGGTTGTGCACCTGCTGTCTGAGGGGGAGATGCCTTTCCAGGGGTGGGGGCAGTTTCCAGAGGACTGCCCTCTGAGTTCTGGCTGACAGGTGATATCTTAGGGGTATGGTCAGTTCCAGTTTGGGACATGTTCCTTTAGGGAGTCCTGTTCCTGCTCCCTGATCATGTGTCTTCCTTAGCAAGAGCTCCTGCCAAAAGGGTCAACCCAGGGACCGTGCTTGTAGGATATAACTCTGGCTCTTTGCTTACAGCTGACCGGATGGGCACCTGACCTGAGGGTAGCTTATCCACAGGCAGATGCGAACTGAACCAATCAGATTCTCAAGCATTTGCCTAAAGGGGGCTCAGGGATGCTAGTCTGAGAGTGGTCTGCAATGGCAGGTGGGGGGAGCATGGTGCAGGTCCTGAAGTCCGCATTTGGTTCTATATGCACTAGTGAGGAAGCTGGTTTGGTCCAGGCAAGCAAGAGGGTGAAGTAGGTGTGTTGAGAGAAACAGAGCAAAGCAGAGGTGGAGAGAGAGTGCCAGGGAAAGAGCTATCAGGAAGAAGCGTTGCTTGATGCCTTCCCTGCCTTTTGCCACGTCTGCATTTTGCTTCTGTAATTTATCTCTGTCTTTCAGTCAGCCCCTGGCTGGACTAGATGGCAGGATGGAACTTGTACTATTTGGACCCCGTCAGGGACAAGCTGAATTATACTTACACCTTGAGAGTCTTGGACTGTAATTGGAAAGGGAAGTCCAGATTCTAAATTCAGGTTTAAGGCCAAAGCTTTTTCTCCAACGTAAAAATCCCTTTACATTCATTATACACTGAATTTTGAGCACTGTGTGCTATGTGGAAAAAATGAGGCTCATTTATATGAAATCAATCTTCCTTCCTTCCTTTTTTTTTTTTTTTTTCGAGATAGGGTTTCTCTGTAGCTTTGGAGCCTGTCCTGGAACTAGCTCTTGTAGACCAGGTTGGCCTCAAACTCACAGAGATCCACCTGTCTCTGTCTCCCAAGTACTGGGACTAAAGGTGTGCGCCACCACCTCCCAGCTGAAATCAATATTTCTTGATCCATTTCAATTTTTGCCTGGCAGGGAAGCATTTCTTTTACTTAGAAGTAAGAATTTCACAATGTCTTCTAGTCTACCTACACTCAATCGCTAATATTATTTCTTTTCTTGAGTCAACATTATTCAGAAACTGCATGTTTTGGTTTATGTCTTTTTTGAGGGAGGCTCTTAAAATAACAAGCAGACGGCATTACCTCTCCTGGGACAGTAGATGGCATTACCTCTCCTGGGACAGGAGTGTCCTTCAAAAGGCTTCTTCCGGCTCTGTAGCTCACAGCTGTCACCCTGTTCCCACACAAGCCTCAGATCAGAGGTACCAGGCCACGCGAGAGACCTTTATGTTCTTGGCTTTCTGGGTCACCCGGTGAAGTGAGAGTGTCAGGGCTTCCTTGCCTCCCTTTTTGACACATGGTGCTGAATAAGTAAGTTACCCACACTGGCCTTCAAGGACATTGCTTCTTCGGTGCTACTTTCTGGAATAAATTGGTTCCCCCCACCCTCACATTTTTTGGAAAGAGTATTATGGAGTTCCTCACTTGACCCTTGCCTACTTTTTAAATTTCTGGGCACAGTTAAAAAATGTGTCTCCAACAAGTGTACAGGCAGCAGGGTCAAAGGGAGAGCAGGCTGGGACATGAATCAGCAGGCTTGGGCTCAACCCTCAATGTGTCTGGACGTGGATTTTTTTCCTTCCAAGGATCTTCCTCTGTGGCTTCTGTGCCTATCTGGAAGCTCTTAACAATCTGAGCTCACTGCTGCCTCCTCTGGGCTCCCATGTTCACGTCCCCATGGTGATTCCCCTCAGAGTCTCCTGTTCTTGAACCTAACACCTCTATAAGCCTAGGAGACTCTTTAGGGAAGGAACCACATCTTTGTCCTAGAAGGCTTTAACCATGGTGGAAAAATATGAACCCATTATTATTATTTTTTTTAATAATTTAAGGTTTTCTTCAACAGACTTCTTGAACCCATGGAATCTAGTTTAATAGTATTTGATTTATCATGCTATATTTTAATTGTCCCAATGAACTAAATATTCCACAGGGTTCTGTGAAGATCCCAGTGAGCTGTAGTCCACTGCCCTGGCAATCTGGAGCCACACCACGGCTAACCCTAGATTCATGACCTGGAAACTCCTGGAACCCAGAGCCTAGACACTGTCTTTTGAAGCATTCATATTCTGTAGTCTAGAAACTTCTCTCTCATATTCCAAACATTTACCAAGTCCACACAGTACTGTGTTGGTACCACTGCACTGATGAAATATTGATATTATTGATAAAGTGGAACAATGTAGCTGACTGTATAAGACTTACATAGTTTGCATGAAAAGGCTGAGTTTCTTTGGCTCTTTGTTCATTCAAGTGCATCAAATGCCCGTCTGGATAGATTTAGGCATTGTATTAATCTGTCGGTAAAATCCTGCACTGTCCACAGTGTTCTGCAAGCTGATTTCAGTTTTGGACTACAACTGGCCATTGGTAGAAATATACCATATATACACACGGAAATTACAAAAATACATTTTTATTTATAGCTGATTTCGTATTAAGTAACAAAAAACTAACACTATGAAAGATCAACCGGCATACTAAAAGGATACTACCTAATGTCACCCCCACAAGAGACTTGTCTTGGGGATCCCATGACAGATCTCGGAACGTTCCAGAAAGGACAGTTTGCCAAAGGGAAATAAAAAGAGCTTCTTGGGAAAGTCTGTGCTTTGACAGTTTGAGTCCCCCAGTCTAATCAGTTCCAATCCTACTCTTCTCTCAACCTCCTTTCAGTAAAGACCAAAGAAACTCATGAAGACAATGGATAGATGGGTTCAGAGGGGCGGAGGTACACTGAAGCGAGATGGGTCATGGGTGAAGGCAGGATGGGACCATATTCTTCAAAAGACACCCAATAAGCCCCCTGACACCATACATGACTCCCAAAATTGGGGAGGAAACTCAGGGTTCCCTTTTCCTCTGGTACCCCAAATCAGTCTTATTTGCACAGAGGAGTCACCAGTGTACCCCAAAGCTGCAAGGCAGTGTTTCCACCCAGGACCCTGTAGGCTGATGTGTCAAGCCATGGAGAGTAGCATGGGACAGCACCATCCCACGGTAGCATCCTGCCATCTCAGCAAACATCCTCCTGCGTTCATCCACCACGGAGGACTGGTGAGCTCCAGACTTTTAAAAAGATGTTTTGCATTTCATCTCAAATCAGATTTTCTACATTTACAAGCTTCTAGAAGCAGAGGTTGCAGGGTGGGGTGACCGTGGATCCATCTTTCCCGTCTCTACCGTAATCAATCATGGTTCCCTTTGTACCGCTGGCAGCATGTGCTTGACTCCACTATGGAGGAGACAGATCTTGTTAAGGTTGTTGTATCTATTATTTCCCCAGGACGGCCGGGTTCTCGGGCCATCTTCAATACAAAGAAAAACCTCCACAAATAACTGCTTCTCTTTTACAGGCTCCCAAGCCTCTTAGCACCGATTCCCTTTCATTTGGATCCCAATTTGCAGGAGACGTTATTTCCAAAATGACAGCACCTTTTAAACAGTCTGTCCACACAAGTCCACCATTCTGGCTCATCATCTCTCTCTCTCTTGGCCTTTAATTAGCAGGTATGTGTTTTGGGGGGCAGAAAGGACTATTTATAGGCATAGCCACTGGAACTGATTTCCATCCAGTTCATTTGACTTTGAACATGAGCCTTGAACAGCAAAGAGACTCAAGTTTCTTGGCTGGAGAGTCAGTATTTCCCTTACAGACTAGAGGTGATTTTGAAAGCGGTCACGGTCATGGCTCAATGAGAGAGTACAGTCTGGTGGTTAATCACACTCCCGTGTTGCCTTTAACACAGAAAGAGAACATGCAGAGGCCGCTGAAGACAGAGAGGCAGTCTCTCCCTTCTGGCGGTTTACTAAAATGGGACACTGGATAGGAACCTGCAGGCTAGCTAGGGCCTCTCACGACTAGGGCTCCTCCAGGAAATTCCCACCCACAGTTCAAACATACAGCCCAACAGAACATCAAATACAGGGTCCCAGCTAGGGACTTGCTGAACCACAGTTGGCCGCAGGAGTCAGAATCCAGTTGTTCACAAGTTTTCTGTTTCCCCGCAGCCTCACTGTTGACGGTTTTGGAATCTGAGGATGAGAAAGACCCATGCATTGTCTGGAGACCCCACACGTTAGTGGAGAGGAACCCAAAGCCTGTTTGTTGCCTCACGGTCTTCAAGTGCAGATTCCCTCAGGGCTGAGGCATTAGACCTGGAACTCAAACATGTCTGTCTGCTTCTTGGCCAGCTTGGCCACTTCCTCCCGGATGGCCTTCACGAGGGCTGCAGTGGAAATGTTGGTCAACGGAGTATCTGGAGGCTCATTTTCTGTCAGGCTCTGCTGGGAGGCCGCTGTGGAGGGGACTGGGGCCTGCTCTAGGCTTGGGTGAAGATTGGTTGGTTGGCTATACTGGCGAGGGAGCCTGGAGGGGGAGCTCTGTTGATAACGTGACCGGGGATAGGCCTCGATGTACCCAGGAAGAGGGACCTGCGTAAGAGGTTGGGAGAGAGAAGGAACTCACGTTAGGAGGGAGCTCAAGGAATAGGATGTACTCAATACTGGAAGCGGACGGTGGGCAGAGGTCAAGGAAACAGGTTTAGAGAAGTGAAACCCTGCACTATCACGGCTCTCAGCCTATCAGTGACGTGAACCCAAGGGCATCTGGAGTCAGTTTCTTTAGCAAACAGCTGTCTTGGACTCACTCAGCATGCTGGCTGCAGGAATTAAATACGTGTTCTTCAACTTTGCTGAAAACTTTAAGAATACACCCGAGCTCACAGCTGAACGACCCCGCCTTTCCTTTTAATGTAAGCACAGCTGAGTAAACAGAACTGTTGCAAGGGAGCTCAGGGGCTTTTTACTAATAACAGCAGCCGGCATCTGTTGAGCCCTAATGATTTTCACACAGTATCTCATCTAATTCTGCAAGCAACAATCTCCTTATCCCTGTTTCACAGGGGAGGACACTGCAGCCAAGGGTACCACCATCTAAGGAAACAGCCACCAAGCCATCAGACATGCTCTGCACAGGTGTACCTGGCTTCAAGCACTGGGAATTAATTAATTTGTGCACTACAGTGTTTTGGATATAAGTGCATTAAAAGTGGGAGACACATCATTCTCTACTTAAACATACAGAAGCCTCTAGAAATAAAGCCAAGCAAAAGGTTTAGAATCTACGACTATCTCGCCCACAGAAACAGTACACGCATGGGCTGCTATTTGGTCCACAAGGACCTTTATATCCTAGGATGCTGGCTGGAATGCTGTGGATGCAGGTGCACAGGCCTGTGGGGCAGGAGAACATGTGTCGGGAGTCCTCTTCCAGGTTCAAGAGGTAAGACAGGCAGGTCAAACAAGAGCTAAGGCACAGGGGTGCAGAGCAGTGAGCTGGGTGGGGACTGTGTCCCCAGGCTGTCCCATCTAAAAGCAACTGAATGCTAGTCCATGGAGCATGTGCTTCCTTAGAGGAACCATGTAGTGAGGGGCTGCGGGCAGGCCTGCTTTTCGCCTGACCCAGCTCCCGCATGGCTAGCTTAGTCCCAGAAATAACAACACACAAATTGTATTCATTTAAGCACTGCCTGGCCCATTATCTCTAGAGAGTTAGTTACCGACTAACTCTCACATCTTGATATTAACCCATTTCTAATAATCTTTGTAGCACCATGAGGTGGTGGCTTACCGGAAAAGATTCAGCATGTCTGACCTGGTGGCTGGCTCCATGGCTTCTGCCTCATAGCCCTCTTCCCAGCATTCTGTTCTGTTTACTCCACCTACCTAATTTTCTGTCCTATCAAAGGGTCAAGGCAGTCTCTTTATTGACCAATGAAAATAACACAATAGACAGATAACCCTCCTCCATTAGAACCATCTACTGTCTTGGACACACTTGTGAGAAATAAAGGCCAAGTTTCTATAGTGGGCCTGAAGCTCACAGAACATCACACTAGTCTTGTGTTTGTGGTGGTCCTCCCAGCTCTGCCTCTTGACTTCTGGTATTATAGACATGCACTGCCATACCTGACCTCCTTCCCCATTGATGGACATGCTCATCTGGGCCTGCTGGGGAGGATGGAGCAGGGGAGGATGGAGTAGAGGAGGATGAAGCCGGGAGGATAGAGTAAGGGAGGATGGGGCAGGGGAGGATGGTATAGGGGAGGATGGAGCAGGCAGGGGAGAATGGAGCTGGGGAGGATGGAACAGGCAGGGGAGGATGGAGCTGGGGAGGATGGAGCAGGGGAGGATGAAGCTGGGGAAGATGGGGCAGGGGAGGATGCAGCTGGGGAGAATAGAGCAGGGCAGCTGTCCTAACCTCTTCAGCCTGCTAAAATCAGATATCACTGACCAAGGAGCTGATAAGGAACGGAAATTTATTTTTATTCTCATGAATACTGGGGACTCCAGCGCCTGGTGAGAGGCTGCTTCCTGGTTCTTGATAGCTGTCTTTTCCTGTCACCTACAAGACAGGAGCAGCAGGGCAGCTCATGGGCTTCTTTTATAAGAATGTAATTCTATTCACAGTGTTCGACCTCACAAACCAGTCACCTCCCCAAGACCTCATCGTGACACTGTGGAATTCAGCGTGCGAGTCGGGTAGAGGGACACAAACATTCAGACATTGGGACAGGGGAGTACATGGAAGGATGCTGGACGCTCTGATAGTCCCTCTTGAGAAGGTAGGTGTCTGAGATCATGGGCTGGGAACCCTTGTTGGGTGGCAGCAGAGAAGTCAGCCAGGTCATTCGGGGTGGATCCGGCAGAAGTGAGCTCTGAGGCTACCTCAGCGGTTCAGGTGAGGCCGTGAGAGCTCACTCGATAGAAGTTATTGCACTGATGACCTTAAGCTTGAGTTTGGGGTTTAAATTTCACCACGAGACCTTGCCAATAAAATAAAGCGGCAAAAAGCTGCTGATGTCTCTGCACACAAGGGCTGGACGGCTTCCTCTGTACTTTAGAGGAAACCCAGAGGTGGACTGTCCCACTTATCCAGCCACAAGAGCTAAGAATATATGGATGACTGGAGCTGACCAAGAACCAGGGCCAGAATACAGGAAACCTCTCAGATCTCAGCTCAAATTTCCATCCTTCCAGGGACACTTCCCAGCCTGCCACCAGCCAATGGCCCCTGCAAAATGTTTCCATGAGGTTTGTCTAGAGAGGCAGGCATTCTTCCTGGGCCACCATCACCTGTCCCAGGTCAGCAGTTCTGTAAAAGCAGGACTCCGCCCACCGTCGCTTTCTTACTGCTTTGCCATATGCCCAGAATTATGCCTAGCAGAGAGCAGGAAGTCTCTCAGAGTCTGGGGTTCTAGGCACAGTCTGGAAATCACTGAAGGACGCTCAGTAGGTGTCAAATGTGTGGGGTGGAAGCAGTTACACTTCAAACTTAGCTAACTGCATGAACCGGAGTGAAAAGAGTCAATACACGACCCTTTGTGACATCAAGCCTTGGTGCTAGTGGCTAGAACCAGCAAGGGAAAGGTAACTAGCCAACCGGGGTTGTCTCAGCGTAGTTATTAAAAATGGGGAAGATAAGGAACAGGCTCTTTGGCAAGCACCATTACGTTTTGCTGGCCAGAGTCCAGGGCTGCAAACACGCCTACTCCTTGACAGACATTACCAATTAATCGCAGCAACACTCCTGATCAGTCTGTGTGGCGATTCTGAATGTAAATTTCCCCTCACAGGCTCATGCAGTTGAGGTTGGTCCTCAGCTGGTGGTAATGTGTGGGAAGGTTCTGGAATCTTTCAGAGGTGGAGCCTTGCTGAATGGAGTGGTTCTCTGACCCTTGAGGTCTTAAGCATGGCCTCACTTCTTGTTCACCCTTCTTCCTGACCGCAGGGGTAATATGACCAGCGGCCTCCTGCTTCTATTGTCACACATGATGGACTGTATCTCCTTTAATCGAAGCCAAGACAGACCTTTCTTTCCTTAACTGACTTCTTGTCAGACTAGTTTGTCACAACAATGAGAAAATAGCAAACAAACCCCGAGGCCTCCCCTGCAAGCTTCTCCATCTAGCACCAAGGCTGAGATCGATGTGGTACCCTGGGTTTAGGTGATGTGGGGGACCAGGAAGGTCAGGCACCCAAGTGAAGGAAGGGGGTGTCTTGCTTTGCTCACATCAACACAGAGGACATGCAATCTCTTTAATCAGCCCAAATGGGGTGTCTTTCTCTCGCTGACTTTCTGAGCTCTCTGTTCTGTCTCTCACTTGCTCTGAATCCCCATGGTGAATCAGCATGGTGAAGCTTGCACCATGCTGGGCGCATTTCTCAGCTGAGCTACAGGTGATAGCTGGGCTCCCAGAAAGACCTACCGAGGCTGCAGCATTAAAAAGAAAAAAAAAAAAGGCAGGAAAGCTCAACTTCTTTCACAGTGTCGGAGAGGATTTGGGAATGACTCCGTCATCCTGTCAGGAAGGTGAGGTTGGCATTTGCTGAGGTCTTTCGTTTTCTTCTCTAGGGTGATGTGAACCCAAGGGCATCTGGATGAAGCTGAAAGCCTGGGGAAGCTATGTGTGTTAAGCATCTTGAGGGCAAGGACCAAGGATTTGGAAAATACTTTCTTTGAATCTTGCAGAGGACATAGCTATCCAAGCTACAGGCTTTCAGCCTGACCAGGCATATCGTCCCCTCTGAAAAGCGCATACATTATTTCTGCATTTCAAGACTTACAGAGTCAAACCAGTCCTACTCAATGATGCCAATTGTTTAGAAATGCAGCAATGCAAAACAGTCTGGGAATCGGATGGAGGGTTGAGAAAAGAGAGTCAGACACGGTGATCAGCACTAGGGGGCGTTAAGGCAGAAGGTTTGCCAGGAGTTTACCTCTTGGCCTTGGCTTCACAGTAGTGAATTCCAAGCCAGTTTGGGCTTAGGAACCAAACCTTGTCTCAAAACTAAACAAGCAGAACAACAACAAAACTGACCTCAAAAACAAAACAAACAAAAGAGAATGGAGAAAATCAAAACAACAAAACCAAAAAAGAAAGGCAAAGATGAGCCCCTCCCAGCCAAACAGATGCCATGACATCCCAGGTTAGACGTGCTGACCTAACAGCATGCTATGACATCCCAGGTTAGACCCGCTGACCTAACAGCATGCTATCACATCCCAGGTTAGACCTGCTGACCTTACAGTATGCTATCACATCCCAGGTTGGACCTGCTGACCTAACAGCAGAGAATCCTCCCGTTCCTCTCCCAGAGTTTACTTACTCCAACTTTGCAAACAGTTTAAATGAGCTCAGGCATGTTTCATGTGCAGAGGACAGCACATTAGGAAAAGCACACGTAAGGATGTGGAGAAGCTGACAACATAAAGTACCAGCCAGGAGGAAGCTCATGCAAAGAAAAACCACATCAAGCCGTGCTATCAAGCCCAGAGGTTACTAGTTTGTAGATACTGAACGAAAAGCCAGAATCCCCAAACCGTGAAAGCCCGGCCTCCGAACGTCTCCTGAGAGAACTGTGAGACTTCATCAGGACGCTGAACTACTCAGAGAAGACGGTTCAGTCAAGATACGCCCACTTGAAAGGAGCGCGCGTTTTCAGAATACTTTATATGCAACATGGCATGCATTTTTATGCTTTAGAATCCAAAGAAGTAAGTGTTGGACCACAGGACAGTTTATATGTAGGGTCGCCCCTCCGGTGGTGGTGGTGTTGAAACTCGGGTCACTACAGACTGCATGGTGTGGTGACCTCAGAGGTTTGGATAAAGGCATTGCCAGACTCCTGCATCAAGGTGTTTTCCAATACTAGGAATTTATTCCAAAGGCAGAGACCAACTCTGAAAGTGACTGAAGAATACAGGAATGTCAGGTTCAGCTTAACCTGCCTTTCTCATTTACACCAGGTGAGCTCACTCAGGGAGGGACCAGACAGTCTACTACAGACACCATAGGTGGCACTTTTTTTTTTTTTTAATGGCCACACCTGGAAAGTCCAAAGACAGATACACACATCTGTGTCACACACCTATGAGGAATGAAGGGAGATAGCAAATACCTGGGTGGAAACCAAGCAGGAAGTCTTTGGATCGGCCATATGGTGGCTTCAGGGTTTCTGACCCTTCATTTGCTGACATTTGATCTATAATCTTGTAGAATGTGACAGTTGAAAGAAATAAATTTGATAAACACTTTGGAGTCAGACTGGTATGAATTCTAACTCTGGCCTTGGCTCTTATCTAGATGTGCAACCTTAGCCTTGTATCTCATGACCAAGCCTCAGCGCCTTATCTGAGAAATGGGAGCAGTCATAAAACTCGCTTGATCAAATTTACCGTGAAGATTAAATAAGGCAGTTTAATGGAACATCTGAACGGGTCTGGCATACAGAAAATACTAAACAGATGGTAGTTATTACTATAAAGCTGATTTGGTTACGGTCCCCTTGCCAGGAAGAGGTAGAATGCATTCTAGGAAACAAGTCTCAAATTCCTCCATCAAAGGTCACACGCCTCACCGCACCACCTCCTTCAAAATGGCTCACTTCAGTCACCGGCATGGTGGGAGGAGTCCTGAGAGAACCAAAGCCTAGTCTCTGTTTTCCACCTCATTTCCCCCTCGAGGTGAGCCCAGCAAGGGAACCTTTATGAGCGCAATAGCAAGGGTCTCACCGAATCAGCCCACTGGCTTGGGAGCTCATTCTCTCCTGCATAGGACATCCAGGCCTGGCTCCTGTAGGAGGAGGGAGGTGTTGGGATGAAGTAGCCGGTGAAGCCAGGTCTGTTGGCAGCTGGGATGGCAAACACCGCTGGCACTGTGTTACCTGCACAGAGGAAGTGGGTGGGAGGTCAGAAGAGGCTGGACTCTGGATCTAGACCCCTACCCGCAAGAGCCAGATGAACCCCTGTTTTGTAGACTCCCAGGCTGCCTGCTGGGCCTGAAATCTCAGCGAATCAGGCCTGAGTGAGGTGCATGATCTTGGCTATAATATTGAAGCACCTCCATCCGATGTAGAGCAGCGCCTGCTGCAGTGGCTGAAACTCTAGGTAATGCATCAGCGAAGAGGGCAGCTGAGGTAGAAGGCACCTGGCTCCCCTTAGTGGATCTCATCCAAGGTCCCCGTGACTGCCAAGGGAAGCAGGTGGTGCCCTCCTCGGGGTATCTGGCACAGAGGTCAAGTGGGGCTAAGATCCAAGCTGTGCTCTCTTTGTAGGGGTGGGCACCGCATCCTCCTTTTTCTACGTCTTGAGAAACTTCCTGGGCTAGCAGTGCCTCAATTTCCCCACCGTCCTAAAGAGGGAGTAGAGTCCAGCTGGCACCCTTCCCACTGAGCCTGCATGGACTCCAGCTCAGGAAGCTGGGAATCTAGGGAGGACTCTGACACTGGTCCAGGCTAGGGGATGCAGGCAAAAAGTCACTGAGGAGGCAGCGCCAGCCCCCATCACCTGCCTAGTCAATATGGCAGGCATCATCTGTGTGGCTCAGACCAATTTTCTCGGCTTTGAAGGTCCAACTCCTCCTATAGAGACCCCATCCTCTCCCTCATCCTACCCAATAGCCTTGATCTGTCCAGAGGAAGGACACCTTGGGTACAGGTACTTTCTTCCCACGAGGGCATCTAGTTTGAAAGATTTTTTAAAAAAGCAATCAAAAGGAATGATTTCACCAGAGGAATTCCCAGAAACCACAAATGGTTTAGCAAGTGTTGGCAAGAGGTGCTGGCAGGTTTAACCATAAAGGTATGCCATGAATACAATAAAAATTCAGCCAGGTCACATACAAACGAGGGTGTGTGCAAACCTCCAGTTCCGTTTTTGTCATTTTCAGTTTGACACAAAAACTGGAAATGACCCCTGTGTCTACCAGAGGAATGGACTGTTGCAGGTCACGTGACAGGACACCCACAAAGCGGTGGAAATGAGTGGCTAGCCTGTGCTCATAGCGCCATCTGGGGAAGTACTGCAAACCTGCAAGCAATGTTGGGTTAAATAACAGTGCAAAGTGGAGTGTGTCGTAAGTGATTTATGCACGTTTAAAATGTACATAGCATATACTTTTAAATAGGTATAGAACACAACACAGATCTAAAACCCATGACCCAAGGACCATGGCCACCTTGGGGAAGGATGGCCGGCTATATATGTGTCATGCTGTGAAGGTAAAATAAACAGAAACCTAAAATATGACAAAATATTAGCAAAACTTTGACTTTAGCATAAGTAGGCATTTTGCATAGTTTCAGGGTTTTTTTTTTTTTTTTTTTTTTTTTTTTAGAAATAATACAGTAGCTCCTCTGACCAATACTAACGAAGTCAGAGGACCCAGACATGTGGTGGCTCTGGTTCAGGACAGTGGCAGTTTGTGTGGACCGGGAAGGCCTCAGCACAGGGAACAGGATTTTCTCCTCTGGCTCACCTGAGTAGTTCAAAGCCGACTGATCCAACTGCGTCACTGACACAGGACCTCTGGACACTTGGGCAAACGAGGCACTGTCATGCAACTGGGCGGGCTCGGGTCCTGCGGACTCTGCCATTCGGGTCTTGCTGCCGATATCGGAGGTGGACCTGGGCAGGGCAGAAGGACTGTGTACCGTGAGCATGCCTCAGGCACCAAGCAGTCATATTACATTGAAAGGTGCCCCGATGCTGTCAAGCCCCCGCTCTCCTGAGGTCCTGGGACAGATTTGCCACCAATAGCAATAGGACTGCTGGTGGCATCTGCATCGCGGGGGCACCCAGACTTGCAGCATTGGGGTCGGTTTTGTTTTGTTTTTCCGTTTGAGGTTAGCTCTCCAAGGATGACTCTGGGTGGTAGAATATTTAATTTCCATGTAAAAGCAGCAAGGCACAGTTGGGTATTAGCTGGGGATGGTATATCTAGGAGGAGGTGACATCAGCAGTAGCCAATGAGATGGACAACTTTACCTCTACACTGCATTCCTGGTCTAACGTTCTGGGTCTCCGTGAAGGAAAGTGACAGCCTCGTGTGGGTGGGGATGGCAGATGGTGCAGAGGGTGGGGTGGGGGGATTGGCAGAAGAAATGGACAGATGACGGCTATCAGCAGACCTGCCAAGAAGGTCTGATCTGAGCGGTACACAGGAATAACTCAGAACCCTGGCTAGGGAGATCTGACAACAGGCAGGGTGGGAGGTGGGGTGGGGTGGGGGTCAGTGTGGGCTCTCCCTTTCGCATCCTGCCTTCCCTGTCCCATAGCTCAGCCTCAGGTGACCCTTTCCAGGAAAACTTCTGGATCTTTCCCTATACACTCTGCTGAGAGTCTTTCTGAGGAATCCTAGAGAGTTTATTTACATCAGGGGCCCAAGGGGCAAGGTGATCTGTGTGGCAGATTAGGCAACGGACCCTTGGTCAGCTTCTTAGCACCCTGCCCTGGACAGCATTGGCCTCAAGTGGCATTGTCAGGCCAGTTCCATGCTGAACCATCAGAACTGGAAACAGTATCTTTTCCAGGGAAGCTCACTTTTACTTTTTAAAGCATTTTCACAAAGGCCTTGCCTGTGGCCCACAGACAGCTGACAAGTATGCTGGGGGAGGTTGTGGAGCAGCTCCGGAACAGTGACCCACACATTCCCCAGGGTTATCCCCAGCCTGGGTATCAGAATTAGTTCATCCTTCCCCAGAGCTCCTGGTTTACCTGTCTCCTGCCCCACTTTCTTAAGGACCTGTGCTGGCTGCATCAGCACAAAGAGCCTGGTTAACAACCACCTCATGCTGAGATGCATGAGTTCTGCCTCTCTGAAAAGTCAAGACTGGGAGTGGGTAGCCCAGACCCGCTATCCCTGGCCCCTGAGACACTGCCCTATAAGAAACAAAGGGACTTCTGGGTATGTGAGCCCAGGATGAGGCAGCTAAGCTTCTCATTATGTCAGAGTATGGGCAATCGAGGTACAGGGCAATTGACCTGGGGCGTTTTTTGATTGTGGGGTCTTCGGCATTCTGTTTAGAAAGACATGCAGACTGCTCAACGTGCTGGGGTCTCCACTTCCCTCATGATACTTCTGTGCCCGGGCCACAGAGGATACACCTTGAGCGGGGGCAGGGAATGGATAGAGTTTCCTGAGACAGCTATCCACAGGACTAGACAGTCCGGGGATCAAATCTCTCCCAGATATCTCAAACAAAGTCAAGAACGGAATGCGTTACCGCCTGAGGGAAGTCACAGCCACAGGACCTGTCCTGGGAGGTACGGGTGGCGGGGGAGAGCCCATGACCATTTCGGGAAGCTGGGAAAACCTGTAAGCCTGTGGAGAGACAAGCAAATTAGAGGTTGCTGTTAAAGCCAGTGTCACCCAGCACACAGCTTCTTATTTAAGGAGGAAGCCCAATTCCAGGGGCCAGACTCTCAGTTCTTCCCCACACGCCTTCCCTAGATCTTCCGTAATGCAGTCCCCAGCCTCCTCTCTCTGAGGCTCTGTGGTTTGCCTGCCCCACTGCAGTCTCAGAACCCTTCAGTAGCCTTCAAACAAACCCTCCTCCTCTGACGCTGGCAAATGCTGCTCCTTCTTCCTGGCAGGATTTTCTCCTGGTTCTGCTCGTAGCTCCTTCCTTCACGCCATTCATCCTGTCCCATACTCCCCTTTTCTCTGTCTAAGAAAATGAGTGCTTTTTGGCTAAATTATATGGCTGCTTGCTTATTTATTATCTGCCGGCAGCTAGACTGTAATCTGAGGTGTTAAGGGCCAGGTTTTGTTGTCAGTAATATCACATCCGGAATAGTGCATAGCAGAAGATCAATAACGTCAGACTCAAAGAAGGAATGAATGAATCATTGGGGCCGTTTCCTTTGTCGCGGAACCCTGGTTTAATGTGGAAAAGGAATGGATTTGGGGGCAGGAGGAGCTGATGAACAGACTTTAAACTCCGAGGTAAGTCTGGTGACCTCTGTGGACTTCAGAGTCCTCTTCTGAAGTGGACACATCAACGCTGTGCTCAGGGGGTTCCTGAGAAGACAGGCAAGGCCCTGTGTGTGCACGGGCTTTGCAGCCCAAGCAAAGACTTTAGTCAACATGCGAGGGAATAAAAGAAAGACAGACAGGATCAGAGAGGCCTCTGCCTACTACTCTGCCAAAGCCTACTATAGTGAGAGAAAAATTTAGAGATGCCCTTAGGGCAGACAAAGCTCAGCAAGTCTTTTTAGGGTTGTGTGCTTGCCTGTCGGACTCTCAAAGAACAGGATGGCAGGCCTTTAAACCCCAAAGCATCAGCACATACCGCAGCAAGGGGACTCCACAAACAGGGTTCCTAGAGCTGAAAGAGGTCCCCGCCCCCATCTAGCATTACGGCAAACAACACACCTGTGGGGGCTACCCCATGGAATAGCAGTGAGGCCTCAGAGAAAGCACGCCTTTTTACTGTCCCAGGAAAACTGTGAGCTGTAGGGAAATCGCTAAGGGCAACTCTGGAACCCCTCCCTCCCTTGCATCTCAGCAAAACTAACACAAAACTGTGAGCTGATACCACAGGTGGAAACAGAGAGCAGGAAAGCAAATGCAAAGGATGTGGCTCCCCAGAAGACAAGCTGGGCAGCCCGCGTCCGATTGTGAGATTAGGCTTCAGCATAGGGCGTGTGGTTGAGGTGTGCTCGTGCCTGACAAGCCTGGCTTCTCCTCAGAGGGTGACTGGTGAGGTTCCAAGGAAACACTGGAAATTCTCTTTAGAGTGGGGTATATCTAAAGTGGCTCATAGGATTAGTACAATTAAAAATTAGTTAGGAGCTATACTACTAACAAGAGCTTATGGAACATACCAGAAGGGAAGAATGAGAGTCAGTACCAAGGACACAGACACAGACTTTTAAAGACTTCCAAGCTTCAATTGTCCAGACATAAAACAAACAAACAAAAAAAATTAACATCGTAAGAAATGCTTTTGAAGAGTTAAATGACCAAGGCTGATGGATCAGTGATTAAGAGCACACACTGTTCTTCCACGGGACCCAAGTTTAGTTCCCAGCAGCCACATCAGACAGCTCACAACTGCCTATAACCTTAGCTCCAACTCCTTTTTCTGGTCCTATGGGAACGACACTCACATGTACAAAAATCCACATTCTCACATAACACACAGCATATACTTTAAAATAAATATACATTTTTAAAAAGAAGTATTAACTGATCCAGTTGGGGTGCCATCAGGAATGCTATATCATACTCCGAACAACAACTTTCAGGCATGTGTTGGGGAAATAATACATGCATTCAGAATTGATGAAGAAAGAATTAAGAAACTTGGAAACAGAACTGAGGAGCGTAGTAAAAATGAATTAAAAAAAGGAAGTTGAAAATATAAAAAGAAGAGATGCAGAGTTGGGAGATGAACAGGTCTGACACTGTCATCTGGATGCTGAAGGACAGAAGCGGAGGAACGACGTTGAGCATCTTCCTACATTGCTCTCCACTTTATCCTGGTAGGCAGGTATGCAGGGCCTCTCACCGTAGGCAGCAAGTGCTCCATCCACTGAGCTGGCTTCACATATCTATGAAACTATTTTGTCAGACATGAAACAAGTACGTGAAAGCAGTGTGCCCAGTTGAAACTGGGGAGAGGATGGCTTGGTAAATTTGCCCTCCCTCCATTTCATGATGGTTTCCTGTGGAGCTCCCTGGACTCAGAGTTTTGCAGACAGGTTGAAAACCATTGTCCTGCATGTCATCCCAGCTGTACCTTCACAGGTCTTAGTAATTCAACAAGTGAACGGCTCCTTCCACAACATAAAGGGGTTCACAACCCGTCCGTCTCTTCTGGCCTCTGCTGCTCTTCAGCAAAGGATGTAGATGTCTATTCTTATCTCTGGTTCTTGGAAGGCTTATTCCGTACTGAACACAGTTTGCTCGCCAAGAAAAAGTTTTCTATGCTTCTCTAGGAGTAAATCACTAGAAGATTTGATAAAAAGTTCTGAGCTTTTGTTGAGCATTAAGGACGTCACCGTTATTAGTAGGCTTCTTCCGGCATAAAGTGCACCTATGCTGGACAGCAGGCCCCCACTCTTGGGCTACGTCTTTGGAACTTAGTCACATAACAGCAGAGATGGCCACTGCCATGTGTGCATGAGCTGACAACCATCTTGCATTTCCCTCCAGGTTAGTTCCAGAGGTTCTAAGCTCCCCCATCTTGCAACCCAGTTCCTCTTCTGTGTCCATTCGTGTCTCACCCTGTGGGATGAGGATCTAAATCCCATCAAGATGTGGGGTAGTTTGAAAGACAAGACTTGTGTGCACCTCTGGGAAAGCTTAGGAATCTGAAATCTTCCTCTCCCCATGCAGGATGGAAGAGTCAGGGGATGAGGGAGCCAGATGCAAGGGCCTTTAACAGTCCTATAGGGATAGGTGAGGAAGTTTCTGGAGACAGGGAGGGAGACAGGCATGGGTAAGAGTGAGCGTGAGAACAGGAGGATGGGAGCAAGAAGAAGGGGAAAGGGAAGGCGAGACAGTTAGCATACAACAAGCAAAGGAAGGGAGGAAAATAAGGAGGGGTCTGGTAAGGACTTCTCCTCAGTGGATGAAGGCACCAATGTCCTCTTACAGACTAACACCAGGAGAAAATGTGAGGGCACACATTTTCAGGGATGCCATCCAGGGCATTAGGAAAAATGGGACCAGAAACTATAGCCTTTTCCCCAACTCCCACTAAGTTTTGCATTGTGCTGGTTCCCAGAAGCCAGCAGGAGCCTGAGCTGGCTGAGATGATGAAGGAAGACCAAATCTGATTTTCCTATAACCCCCCTCCCCCGCAAACCACCCAGTGAGTATTATGGTTTCATTATTGACATTTCTTTGTAGGCTCACGTGGTACATATCGGTCACCAACTGGTGAGGTTATAGAACATTCAGGAGGTAGGGCTTTGTAGGCAGCATGTCTCTCTCCTGCCAGCCAGCTCCCAAATAAACACATAGAGATTTATTATTAGTTATCAATGTTTGGACAATAGCTTAGGATCTTTACTAATTAGCTCTTACATCATAAATTAACCCATATTTCTTATCTGCACTCTACCGTGTGGTGGTATGTTTTTTCAGTACAGCATGTTCACCTTGCTTCGCTCTTCATCTCCTCACGATTCCACCCTTCCTCATCCCCATGTTCTTTCTCCCTGTCCGCAAGTCCCACCTAACCTCTTCCTGTGGAGCTATGGGCCATTAGTTCTTTATTAAACCAACGAGACAATCCATCTTCACAGTGTACAAAAAGACTATTCCATAACAGGGTTCAGCTGAAGGAAGTAGGGTGCTGGAAGTGGGTCCTTGGGTGTATCTTATCCCTAGTCCCCTTTTTCCCCTCAAAACATGGGCCAAATCCTCTGAAACCATGAGCTAGATCTAGTTTTCCTTCTTTAGGTCACTTACTCAGACATATTTTGTCATAGTGGTGTGGCAGTAACTAATACAGTGGGTAGGGCGAGGCATTCTCCGGATTTTTCTCTTTTCTAGTGACTTTCCTAAGTTTAGTGGTGCAAGCTTTTGTCAGATACTGAGAGCTGCACAGTGCAAGTTTAACAATGACTGGCTCATCACCTGCAATTACTCACCCACTTGGCCAGGTGGAAGTGCAAGACAGATTCAAATTTTTTTATTGATATTTATTGAGCTCTACATTTTTCTCTGCTCCCCTCCCTACCTTTCCCCTTCCCCCTGTAGCCCTTCCCCAAGGTCTCCATGCTCCCAATTTACTCAGGAGATCTTGTCTTTTTATACTTTCTACTTCCCATGTAGATTATATCTATGTAAGTCTCTCTTAGTGTCCGTATTGTTGTCTAAGTTCTCTGGGATTGTGGTTTGTAGTCTGGCTTTCTTTGCTTTATGTTTAAAAACCACCTATGAGTGAGTACATGTGATAATTGTCTTTCTGTGTCTGGGTTACTTCACTCAAAATAATGTTTTCTAGTTCCATCCATTTTCCTGCAAAATTCAAGCTATCATTATTTTTTTCCGCTGTGTAGTACTCCGTTGTGTAAATGTACCACATTTTTTTTTAAATCCATTCTTTGATCAAGGGACATTTAGATTGTTTTCAGGCTCTGGCTATGACAAACAAAGCTGCTATGAACATAGTTGAGCACATGTCTTTGTGGCACGATTGAGCATCCTTTGGATATATACCTAAAAGTGGTATTATTGGGTCTTGAGGAAGATTGTTTCCTAATTTTCTGAGAAATCGCCACACTGACATCCAAAGGAGTTGTACCAGCTTGCATTCCCACCAGCAATGCAGAGGTGTTCCCTTTTCCCCACAACCTCTCCAGCAT